ACTGCTATTGTAAGCATTAGACTTGACAAAACTGGATAAAAAAATAATGAAACTTGAAAGTTAGAAATGTTCTTTTTATCTGTCTTGTTTCTGCACCACTAGAAATAACACTTAAGTACTTTTTATGTTTTTACATGTAAAATTATGCACAAATTTGCACAAATATACAAAGATGCACAGTCCAGATACAAATCCTGTGGTGGCTGATGGCTCTTCTGTAAACATACAATTCTTAATGGATGCATGTAGTATCATTCTCTGTGTTTGTAGAACATGAAAAAGTAGTTGTAGGATAAATGATTAATTCACTTCAGACATAACACTTTTCATGCTTCATCTACGGTGAGGTTGATGTATTTTGCTTTACAATCTGGCTGCATCCTAAATGCCCTTACAAATCTCTGAAATGGGCTTTTCAACAAGTAAGTCTTCCCTGGGAGTACCAGCAATACCTCAATGCATCTTAATCAACCCAATGGTGTGTCTAGTCCGAAAAAGCTGCATCACCAGCTTTGTTGGCTTAAGGAAACAGTATTAATAAGCTACAGATGAATGCAAGAATAGAAAATTCTTAACAGTGAAAGCAAATATCTCTTGTTTAATACACTGTGTATTGGGTTCATGGTCAAAAAGGACTTAAGTGTCTTGGCAGTGCATACTAATTTGAAATGTAAATGAGTATTTAAAACATCTTTACAAAGAGACAGAGTTGATTGTCCCAAGTTGTAACTGATTTGTTAGATAATGGCAAAATAGTAAAACAAATACATAGGTACTAAAATGACTAGCCTAGTGAAAGAGAGCTTGAGGGACATAATGGTGATTTGAATTGCCATAGCATTATGTTCATGAGATAAGTCTGTGGTTATCTATATTCTAGTTAAATTATTTCTATTATGGCACAGGGTTTAGTTGCAGAGGATATAGAAGGATCATCAAAAGGAATCTTCAGAATATATGATTAGATTGAAGTATGTCATTTACCTTCGGGCATGACAGCAGTCTGTAGTTTCACTTGTGGAATTTTGCATACAAGTGTGTGCACCATGTGTTTTCTGTTGTAGTGAGAATAAATTCTTTTGCCCGTGGAAAATGTTTTCCTGCTTACTTTGACTGATAGAATGAAATACTTGCTGAATCTGTAATGATGGGGGTCTGTCTCTAATCTACAAAAAATAATTTATAGTTTACGTAGAATATTGTCTTCTATTTTGTGATTGCATTTGTTATTTATCTACCTGGTGCAGAACATAAGCATGTTAATCAGATCTATCTGGATTCCCACATAGTGATCTTTTTGGATCATAAGTGAATAGAACTTTGTCTGAGCTTGACCTCTCAAGGAGGATATTTGTCCACTTCATGAGACCGCCATAAAATTCAGCTCTGTCTTCTGGAGAAGATCAGAGGTGGAATAGCAGGGGATTTAGAAAAAGCTGAGTTTAAGGATCAGGACTGAAACAGGGGCCTTGGTTTGTGCCTTATTGGCAGAGCTGTGTGATGTTTTAGGCTGAGGTATCTATAGGTGCTGGAGGGTAGTATCTACTATAGACGAATGAGTTGTATGGGCAGTGCCTGCTTGTTTCTATAGCTGGTTTTACCTTTAGCTTTTCACTTTAAAAATCAGATTCTTAGTGCAAATTCATGACAGATCACTAGAGTGAGAGGAGATGTACTTGCACATCCTCGCTTGAGAATGTGGCCCAGACTGCTCCATGGAAACAAAAGAGAGGAGAAGCAGAAGTGGTGTTAGTTTTTGCTTTAAAAATCTATTGCATATGCTTGAAATCAAAATATGCCCATTCAGATTTCTCATTTATTTATCTCTAGGTAAGTTTTTTTTCGCTGGAATTGCATACAGTTCCTCCTCCTTTACCTTGAATGCCGGTGCCCTGTAAAAAACAAAGTCTGCTACCTGTCTGTAAATGCTTCTTTGTCATTGCTGCTGTAGAATCCGCCTAGATGATGTCTTGACCTTGTTTACCAGCTTTGGCTATTTAAGATGTCAGCCACTTCGGCGCGAATGTCAGGAATCCCTCTAATGCAGGAGGCCTCCCGTTCTAAATTTACTCTCCTTATGGTTTATGGTCCCTCCTCTGTGGCTGCAGCAAGAGGCCCCCTTTTTATGACTCACCCCTTCTGCCCCCCTTCCCTCTCCCCCTTCCTCGCTCCCTCCCTCCCACCCGCAGATGGTAACCCTTTGTGCACATCGCCTGTTTGAAAGAAGTGCTCGCTGGGTGTGTAGCAGATTGGCTACCACACTGTGCTCTTTTGTTGCCACTAGGTAAGATCAAATTCGAATGAAATCCTGGAATTCAAATTAGGTTAAAGGGCTGTCCTTGGAACTTCGCAATTTTGGTATCCCAAGATGCTGTTAGGGGCCTCAGACTGAAGCGCTCACAGGAGAATAGCGCTGCTTTTCTTTTAAAGTGAAGTTAACAATTTATTTTGCATTTGATTTTGGAACCTTTAAAACATCCTGTTAGCCAGCAATAATGATAGTTGTAGTCAAATACATAGTAACAATAGTTATGGTTAGACTTCGTCGAGGTTTGTTTGTTTGTTTGTTTCTGTGTACAAAAAAAGGCATAAAAGGAACGTATACAGGAGGGCAAAGGTAATTTCTTTTACTTTGTCCTGGGGAAAACTGGGAAACACATTAGTTAACGTAAGAAAAAATTCCAACTAGTGATTTTTCTCCTGCCTATGGCAGCTGAACGCTATGAGTGGTATATGCATGTGTGTGCAAGTTTTGGGGGATGTTCGCAAAAGCCAGCCTTAGCACAACTGACTTCTTGAGGGCACTGCAGGGTACCTGAAGTTAGACTTCTGCTCCGTGTTGTCCCTAAAGGACCCTCTCTTCCCCCCCCCATACCGAAGCAGAGACAGATTTGTTTTCTTCATGAAAAATTTTTGGATTTCCCCTTTATTGGAATATGTGCTCCTAAGTCACTTGGGCGTTTTCAGAGTATTACACAGGAAAGACAAGTTAACTGGAAGTCTAAAATCATTTTTTAAAGAAAAAAATTACTTCCGTGGAAAGCTGTATTAATGGAAAGTTCATCAGACGTTTTCTCTAATGCATCGTTATTTAATCTGTGACGTTATTTCATTCTTCAAATGGTTACTGTTACCTTAGAATACAAGCATGTTATGTACCAGAAAGTTAGTGTAACCTTGAAGGTACTAGTTGTTTTCTTCAGTGAGGAGAAAATATGATTGTGCTTATTAAGTTGCTTTGGCTTAACAATAGCAGCATCTCATGAATAGTTTTTATTAGCATGGCCAATATTTTTTCTTTGTGCTAAACTTAACTCTCATATGCTGCTCTTTTGCAGAGAGTTAATTTACTAGTAAATTTACTTCAGTAAATTAAGAAAGTTTTTAATAATAATCTTTAATTTCTTTCCCTTATATGGCTTCTTTGCTTGATGGTGTTACACAGTACGCTGGGGAAGGCCGCTGCAGAAGAGAACTGCCACTGCTAAGTACTGGCTGGGATTTTATAATATGACTCAACTTGCCAGTGTTGCAATGCTGTTTTCTCTCCCATTTTGTCACATACAAACACGCTATGAAAACCATTTACAGAGTAGCTTCTGTTCAGCATTCTGAGTACATAGCTTTGCTGTCAAGCCTCAGGATGTAAACTGATTGCCTGCAAAGGGCAGGAAAATAATGTTTAAAGCATTTTAAGCAGTGCTGGATGGTGGTGAATTATCAGTTGTAGTTTCTTACCCTTTTGCTGAGGAGTCAGATACTGATCACTGCCAGAGGGAAGATGGTGGGACCGTGGGTGAATAGTCTGACCTGGTACTGCAAACCCCATGCTCCTACTTGTGCATGTAAAGGTATCATTTTCAATATGATACTTTTATGATTCATAGTTTCTGAATCTTAATACAGACAGTTCTTGCAATGGCCCTCGTAAGACTGTTCATTGTCTCAGCTGTTTTCTTTGCACTTACTTCCAGTGTAGTTATTTCACGTTAAACTTGGGTCACAGGAGCTGCCATGCAAGAGCAAACCATGAATAAGAGTGGAGATTTCAGAACTAAGATTCCAACTATAGCAGTGTGATAGAAGATTTTGTCCTCAGTTTGGGGCTTATAAGAGCTGCAGGTGTAGCTTGTTGATTGAAAGCCCCTTAAAATGAAACTACTTGCTTCCTGTGATAGAAGACTGACAGAATACTATTTGACTGCTAACCCATTTCTTCTGATGTTCTTTGTCTTGAGCTGGTGATAAGCCACCAATCAGTCTGGTTTGTTATATCAGAAAGAGGTTGCCCAGTTCCTCAGGAGCACCAAGCTGGACTTTGCATTTAGGTAACAGGCATCAGATGTATGTAATTTTTGTTTGCATGCAGTTAACGAATACCTTGCATGAATACCCTTCAGCATTGAGTCAAATGGATTAAAGGTTGTGTTGCATAAAAGATGATGTTTACTATTTTGGGAACTCTTATGTAGGTAAATATTTTATTATTTTTTGACATTATTTCATTGTTGTGAAAGTGCCCAATTGAAGTTACTCATAAAAGAGAAAGAGAAGACTAATGATATACAACAGATCATGGACTGACCCATAAAGAGGCACTCTTCCAAGAAAGAGTGGAAGCTTTGGAATTCTTTTCCTGTTATATTTTTGGACAGTACTAAAACTCAGGCTGTGTTTTAAAGAAGTTTTTTTGCTCTTCCAGCTTTAAAGCAATTTACTCACACTAGAGAAATTTGAGACTGTGCTTGTTGAATTCAAAGCAGACAAAGGTGATTTGATGCTGTCATGCTTCTACTTTGTAAAATTGCATGTCAAGAGGTAAATAACATGTAGATGGGTTTTTACCAGCCATACTATTTTAGACTAGGATTATATAAAAGGCTCTAATGGGAACAATAAGGGCTCAGCTACACCAAGCAGCTTCTGGGGAAACTGAGATTTTAAAACTCATGTTTCTTAGTTCATTTTAAAAATAAAAATATCTTGTGTTTTAACTACAGGTTGCCTTTACTTGGTAGATACATTAGCAGGAGATCCACAGGTTCTGCAAGTAGATGCTGAAACATACTATGAAAAACTCTTGAAGAAATCCTTGTCCGCTCCTGATGTCTTTTTGGTCCCTGGAGGAGAAGAGGTAGTAGGCTGATGTTTTCATACTACAAGTTAGATACTTGCAAGCTAGTTTGTTGTTATACTCATAGTCTGTCTGTGAATAGGGGTAAACTGGTGCAGCAGGATTACAAATCTCTTAAAATCAGCAAAGTCTGCATTATTTCAAATAGTTTGCATGCTGCAAATGAGAGATACCCTTAAACTACAAGTCTAAAACACTCTGAGTGTGGATGAGGGTTTGAAGTACTTAGCTGAACTTTGCATCTTGACCTGCCTCCTTACAGGACTGAATCAAAAGTGAATTTGATAGACATTTATACCATGGCACAGCTCTGTATTCTGCCTCTGCTGTGCAGTTTACACAGGTATTGTGATACCGTCTATCTTTTGTTTCCATTCTTTCCAATACTTATATTGCTAATTTTGAATATGGGTTTTTCCAAAGAAATTCTGATCAGATGTGATTGATAGATGGTATAAATACTGTAGGTGCCAATGCTTTAGGGTCCATTCCTGAGCCACCTGGGGGGCAGTGCATTGGAGATGACTGAGCAGGCCTATTAAAAATTCTGACTTCAGTCAACCTATGAAACCTTTCATTCTGGGCATTTTCTAGATCATAAAAGGTGTGCTGGACTAACTGTTATTGTACTATCAAACTAGTAAGTGGATTAGTTGAAATAAATGTTTGGAATATGCTGGCTTTTCTACAATTTAGGAAAATAATATGCAGTAATTTCCAGAAAAACGCTGTTTCAGGTGGGTAGCTTCATCTTTGAGTTTGAATGTGACTAGTTTTAAATACTCTTTGAATGCCCTCTAGTGGACTATGTAGGGTTAAATACAAACAAACCTGAAAATGCAAAGATCCCCCTAGTTTAGGGCCTCTGTGTCCTTACCTCAGCCTTACATGCCTGGTTGTACTTTGAGAGGCTCATTTGCTGTTCCATTAGAAGGGAGGATAAGTTAAAATCCCAAGCAGTGCTGTGCATATTCCTGCAATAGCTAGACACAGTGAGATCCGTTAAAAGTGGGCTTGCAGCTTTTGATTTAGAATTGTCTTGATTTTGTGGCTTGTCGTCAGGTCTTAAATATATCACGTGACTGATTTGAGTCTCATAGCAACACATTTCTCTTTGCATTCATTTAATTCAAGTCTAATCTAATCTGCAGTCAGGCAGCTAGTCAAGGGCATAAGTAATGGCAATGTTCTTGCTGTATTGTTTTTTTCCTTTATACTGTTTAATAAATTGTTCAGAGAATGTTAATATTTTGTAATTAAAAATAAATTAAATGTAATAAGGTAAAGCTTCCATCCCCAGTGAACATCTCTGCTAACAATCTCTATTATATACCTACAACCTGAAGGATGAGGATTTTGGTGTTTGAATAATGACTGTAGTTACCAGGCTTTTATTTTTTTCCCCTGAGCATCTGAATTAAAGCAGGTTTCAAGTGGCAGGACCAGCAACCATGAATAATTATTTAGCAAGTGTTAAGTGGCTGTCAGCCCACTTGCTCGGGTCACAGAACTTCTTTTTGGTATGGCATGGTCTTTGGTCAAGCAGTCAGTACAGAAATAGCAAGGATTATTGCAAGTCAGAATGGAAGCACGTTGGCGGCATTCATACACAGAAAGCTATGCTTGGCTCATGCTGATGTTGTTAGCACCTGTGAAATTACACATTACCTTATAAAAGAGAGTAACAATCATAGCAGTATTGGAAATAGTACTGGCCTTTTCATTATATTAATGCTCCCAGATGCCATAATGATGTCGATGCTGTTATATTTGAAGCATGCAAAGAACAACTGAATCCCCGGAACACACTTGAGATTTTGGGAAGCTCATGAATACAGGTTTCAGGCAGTTTTCAGTTTTTCTCCTGGAGTCCAGTGTTTGCATAGATGATCCCAGGATTCTGGCAGTCGAACTAGTGAACATGGGTTTCAACTTAAAGTTATTCTCTTGAATTATCCATATTCATACTACTCCTTCCATGCACCAAGAAATATTAAATGTATCACATGACTGATTTGAGTTTCATAGCAAACTGACAAATGGGTGCAATTAGAGAGAGAGGCACACCCACACATACACAATGGACCAGATTTTTGAAAGTACAGTACATACTGTGCTAAATTATGCACACTCTTTGCCTGTACCTAAAGTTACATGAGAGCATTTGCCATATTCATATGGAAATCGTCATCTCTATGCATATAGAGCTGTTTGAGCACAGTAATTTTGTGTTTATGTGTCACATCATTTAGAAGTTTAGTCTAAGACTGAGAGCTTGAGAGCTGCGTTTTGATTTTAGCTTTGCCTTCAACATGACCACCGTGTGCCAATTATCTACCCTCCCTGTGCCTCACAGATAAACTGCCCAGGCGCTACCCTCATGCTTTGATACTCCCTGTACCCTGAGGCTTAATTCATTGTTTGCAAAACACCACAAGTACTCAGCGGGACGATGCTGTAAGAAGTGCAAGTTGTATTTGTTTTTATTTGATGTGTCTGGTCTTTAATAACACCATTTGTCTCCATGTAACAGTGTTCAAAGCCAGGTTATGTACTAATCATAGTAAAGCTGGCATTAAGGTCTTCACTAACTTTGGTAGCTTGATTTCTTTTAAATTAGTGTTACTGATAATATTAGAATTTTATGTATGTTTCAGTGCCTTGAAGTTCAGAATTGAGAGGATGTTGTGCTAAGCTTATACCATGCATGTTAGTAAAACATATCATAAGTGCATCTAATACATGAAATACTTCTCATGAGCTTTGCAGTACAAACAGCTACAGGGCTTGTTTCTTTTTTAGGTTAAACTTGAAGATTCCTGTGTGTGTTTTGTCCCTCTCTACCGAAGTAATCCTACTTGCAAAATGTTGCTGTTAACTGATCCGAAGGATAAAGAGACAGGTTAGAATTGGTTAAAATGTTTTGAAATTTGAGTAGTTATACTTTCTTTACTTTTAAGATGGTCTGCTTGTTTATATATTTAACTATTTTGGGTTTTGCTTTGAATATGAAGTGGATTCAGTTTACCTGTCAGGGATTTGTGTCAGTGGGCTACTGATTAGAAGGGAGGATTGACAATCACAGCTTTTAACTTCTATGCATCGCTCTGCCGGTAGCTGAAAAATCACCTTGGGTAAATCTGTTATCCTTTCTATATTTGTTCAACAGGGTAATATTTTTCTAATTCAGGATCATGTGAAATTTAGTGCATTATAGTTTGGATAGAATTTTGAAATCCTTAAACAAAAGCAAATATATATGTGAAATTGTATTAGGTCTTACTGGTTCTTATTCGTATTATTTTTACTTTATGGTATCTTCTTCAGTCCTAGGTTTAATTGCCTCCTATTTCCAGTACTGATGTGTGAGGGGTAAATATGGAGTGAAACCATGCTCAGGAATTGAGTTAAATCCCTTTTATTTGGCAGTTCTCCCAAGATGTTCTTTAAGCTCTACCAGCTTTGCCTTGCTTACTGCTAGTAATGCTGGTGTTTTCCTATTACAGCCATGTGTCAGCCTGGCAGGGTTACACTACAATTGTGTTACAGGCAGAAGTCAGCATGTGCTTACTGGTGTTTCTGTTTCATGAGTCACTGCTTAGAGTATCAACAGGTTATTATGATTTGATCAATAATTGTGTCTAAGTTTTATCTTCCTGCTATCAGGATCACAGTATCTTCAGACACAGCCTGATTTCTTCCTACTTACTCTCTTAGGCAAGTGTCTTTGACTACGGAATGCGAAAAAATGCAAATGTAAAATAAGTAACAGCTCTTGATACCACTGTCATTAACAGGAAACTTGACTCCAAGTGGCATAGTACCAAAAGCCCAGGTTGCGACCCACCTAGATTAAATGAGTGTTGGAGCTGTTGGGAAGCAATGGGCTATAGAATTTTTGGAATATCTGCAATAAAGACATGAACCTATGCATTGACCCATTGTTAGGGAATACAGAACACATGAAACCTCTTAAACTTTCAGCTTCCACATGTGGCAGCAAACTAATGACATCTGTCATTAAAAGCATACTTTTTTTTTTTTTTTGAAAGGATAAGCTATAAATTATGCCTGAAAGGCTTTACTGGCCAGTGTTCTTAATAATACAACAAAGGCAAGGGAAAGAAGTTTAGCACTCTTATGTTCCGTTCTAAAGTGTGTCAGGTAATGATCTTGCACTCCTAGAACAAGTACTATTAGTGTAACTATGTGTTCATTGTTCAGTCCAAACCCTGTAACCAGGAAATTTCTTCATAAGAACAAAAAGCAGATTAAAATCATCAGTGGTTAGAGATGAACTCTGCAAAGTTTTCCAGCACCTTTTACATACAATTTCAATTGGACTTTTGGTAATGGGCTGTGATTCACATAGTGGACAATAAGAGACCTTTCCAAGTTACGAGTGTAGTCAAAAGACTTTCTGGTCCCTCTAAAACTATTGATATAGAATTACTTTCCTGACATTAATTTGTATATTCCCTTAACATTTTTCTGAAGAGAGAAAGGCACCGGTGTGATAAAGGAGAGAAGCGTCTACACCGGAGCCCAAACTTGCTCTATGAGTGCAGTTGTGCATACCTACTGACTCATGTTCAAAGGAATGTAGTTGAAAACAGCATTAAGTTGGTTTAGGCAGCACAAGAGGAATAGGGATCTGTAACAGCTACTATGTAAAACTAAAGAAGTATTAAATAAATGCAGGTGAAAGCAGTTCATTTAGCACAAATCTTCAGTTAAATGGTCTAATAGCATTAGGAAGAACAAGTATTAATGAGATACATGTACACAAGGAAAAAATTATTTCCTACAGGAGCAAGACAAACAAGTCCACATTGGAGCCTAAATTACATGGTAGTGTCCTGTTTTCAGCTGGGATAGAATTAATTTCCTTCCTAGTAGCTGGTACTGCACTGTGTTTTTTGGATTTAGTGTGAAAATAATGTTGATAAGACATTGATGTTTTAGTTGTTGCCAAGCGGTGCTTACTCTAAGTCAAGGACTTTTCAGTTTCCCCTGCTCTGCCAACAAGGAGGTACATAAGAAGCTGGGAGGGAGCACAGCCAGGACAGCTGACCCAAACTAGCCAAAGGGATATTCCATACCATAGAATGTTTATATTAAAAGCTTAAACCTAGCAGAATAAATGCCTTATTATATTATAAACAACAGACTGGCTGACTGCTGTTGACCCCCTTGCAAAACTTTAGCTCGAGTCACCAGCCCATAGTTACAGAAAGAGTTTCACAGAGACCAGTAAATCTAGTTATTTAAGTAAGGCCTACATCATCTGGCTTTTAATATTTCCTTTTAAAAGTACGATTTAAAGGATTTTATTGGAAGTTCTTTGTTTCTGGATTTTCTATGCTATAAACGTGTGGCCAGCCTTCCTATGCATATCAAATTTGACTGACATGATTTTTTTCTTTAGATGAGTTTTAACAAGTTTTCATTAGTTCTCTAATAGTCTGCTAGGGTGTATGTATATGTGTGTGCATACCTATACATATGGGTATATACATTTGAAGTATTTTGTCCAAATATTTTTCCCACAGTTCAACAAATTTGGAATTGACTCTCAAGGCAGCAGACTGTGTTAATGTGGCAAGTCCATCTGGATTTGCTTACCTATATGACCTTTTGTTCTGACCAGTGAACAGATCAAATTGTTTCAAAACCAATTCCTTCAGAGAAAAGCAGTATTTATTAACTCAGTCATCGTTGCTTAAGGATGTGGGCAGAAAGTTAAAACACTGAACAGGTGTTTTCCTGATGTTTTTTCTTCCCTTGAGCTTTACACTTTTCTTGTGAACTAGAGTTTCGTCCAGATGGGAGAGGCAAACAATCTTGCTGTAGCTGATCTCTACTCTTTCTCATGTGCTGCCTGGTGTATCTGCATTTTAGTTTTACTTCACACCAGGAGCGCTCTTAGAAGCAAATTTCCTGGTTGTCCCCACGTACTGTGCTTCAGTTCATATCAAGGAGCAGTCTCAGAGCGTGTGAACTGGATTACTTTTGGCTGAAATGAAATTAGAGGATGCACTCCAGAAGCACACTGATGTGCCCCAACCTCTAAGGGGCTTTTGGTTTTCAGCACCAGGCTAGAATTTGTGAACATCAGGTTCTCTGCACCAAATGTTTTGCTCTGTAAGTACAGTTTTGTTCGTGTTAATCTTGCTAATGCAAACATGGCACACTGATTTTTCCTCTTCCAATTAATTTGCACATTTCTGAAGTTCAGTGGGGGAAGGGAGCCCAGGGTGTCCCAGGATACGCTGCAATAGTGGTTCTTTACTGAGAAGCAATTGGAAACAATGTAGAAAATGCAGCTAGTAAGTATGCAGGGCATGCTTAGTTGTGTACTTCTCAGATCCTGATGTGGATAGTGAAGCAGCAAGAAGTGTTAGAATCCTCATTGCTTGGTTATACCACAGTTCACATGATGCTTTGAGACCCTATCATACCGCTCCCAAGAGCTGCAACCTTCCTCTACTCCGGTGGTTCTACTGACTGGTGACTGCTAAAACTCTGGCTAGAGCCTTTTGAATCTAGTTCTCTTCTCCAGCTCTATCCCTGACACCATCAGTTCCTTCAACTTTGCTCTAGCATCTCCACCTTTGTTCCCGGTGGCTCCCCAACATCCCTCACCCCCTAAAATGAACTCTGTACAAAGCCTTGACAACTGCTGGGGTTAACCACTCGCCTGGGCAGGACCTTAATCTCAACAAGAAAGCTGTATACCTTGCATGTCTTATGTTCATATGTGATGGGATTTTCTCTTTCAACTTCTTTTGTGTTTACATCTATAATGGTTAAGTATTGCGTAGATAAAATGATGCATCTAATACTTATGAAATAGTATCTCCTGCAATGTACTTATTTTCCCACAGTTCCCAAAGAAAATGTTATCAGTCTAAGAATTTATGAAATTCTAATAATTTAGACTCTGGAAAAATACTGAATTTACCAGCCTAGCTACAAGTTTGCATGTGAAGAGCTTTATAGTTTGATGGCTTTTAATTCTTCAATGTAGGTTGAGGAGGGGTTGATTCCAACACTGAGATTTATATCTGATCATTGTGATCAGATGGGTTGTCGTCCAGAAGTGATGTGTAGCTTGTAATCTGAAACGACCTGCATATTTCAAAGAGAAAATGGGTATGGTAGCTCTTCCACAGGACTTGGTCTTGGTTGGGAGCATTTTTAATTTATTTTGGATGGACTGAGTGTTCTGTTCTGTTAGTATATCTGTACAGATATTTTTATGAGAATGTAAATTCTGTTGTAAGGGCTTACAGAGCATAGCATGGGTGATTAACATCTTTATAACACTAAATAAACATACCCTATTGTGCATTTTCTGTATGCTGTATATAATAATTTACAATAACTGTTAGGTGCCATGGAACATTTATCACAAGACATTTGCAGCAAATCACAGAGTAAAGCTCGAATTGTAGAAGAAAATGCCATTGGTTGCAGGAAAGATATCTATCTTAGATACTTGAATGGCTACCGTTACTGCAGCATCTGCATGCTTCCCAAGCTTTAATGTATTTATTTCAATAAGACTCTTAGGAGAGAGAGAGAGAGAGAAATGCTCTTATTCCATTTTAAAGACAGGGAACTGGGAGGGACAGCTATTCACAGTATGTCAGTGTTGCAGAATGCAGTTTAATGTAGGATATCTGAGCTTGCTCCTTTGTCAGAGCTGACCTAGGCTCGGTTGCATGGAACTACATGTTGGGGTAGTTTACCATTCTCCTTCCAAGGTGGAAATCTGGCAAAAGCAGCCTCTGTAAGTGTGTCATCAGTCTGAAATACTGCCAAAATTAAGGTAAAGATGACTTTATCTAAGGTAAAGAACTGGTACATTGTATATTTATTAAACAAACTCGAATTACATCTGTCATATATAGCATTGCCTTTAATTTAGTTTGTGACAGAGGGATGTGTTTCAGCAATTCAGGTGAAGGCTTGGGAAAAAGAAGTACAAGGCTGGATGTTGCTTTAATTTTTCCTGCTTTACTCTGTGTGTAGAGTCCTGATGTGCACATTTCATTCAAATAGTTGCACACCAGTGAGGGAACATTTGGCCAGCATAGCCTAGAAAGTAAAAATATAATCCAGACCTGGGTTGGGAAGGGATCCATGTTTGCCGAGCAAAAGGAGACATTTCATAATCACAATTGCATTATGCTTAGTGCCTAATTCAACTCAGTGTTCTTCAGTACTGTATTCCAAATACCCGTAGTGGTATGGAATTGTGTGCTTCACAGGCTCTCAGCTTCTTGCAACACTCTGATCGCTTGCAGTCAGACAAATATATTCAAAGTACTGAGGTTTAGCAAGCTAGTGCTTACAGGGCAAGCCACCCAACTCTGCATGCCTATACTCCATTAATTGTGAACTGAAATGTGTTGGGCTTAATCCATTTCACCTAGTCGTGCAACTGCAAGATCATAGTAATGGTGTACATTATGATTCACAGAGTTCATGATGTGTGTAACTTGCTGTTGGCAATAACTTGATCTCTTATAATCAGGTGAACATAGTGGAATGTCTTGGAAAGAACAAGTCTGGGAAAGGAGAGCGAAGGAACATGTGGTCTCACAAAACATATTTGCATTTGAAATAGTGTTCCTCAAAGTTGATTATAAAATGAATATGAGAATGTGGGGAAGCATGGATGGATTTAACTGCGGACCAGATGTTGACTTGAAAAATGATAACAAAAAGCAAACTACATATGTTTGTGTGAAATCTGGAGAAATGTTTTTCCTTCAAGGAAGGCATCCATATAGATAAGGTTGCTCAAGTAATATGATGTGACAGTTGCTATGTCAACTACTGTTCCCTTCCACACATTTAAATTATTGAATAGCACAGTAAATGTTCTATAAAAGTAGCTCCTTACAACATGGTTATGCATCTTCCTATTTTCCTCAAAGCTTTTAAAAACTTTTTTGACCTTTACTATGAGTCTTGTATGTGTCTGAACTATGTGCCAGACCTTTGTGCAGCTCCCATTAAAGTCAGCATTTGGCCCATTCTGTCCCCTTTGTCTGACTCAGCTCCCTTTGTAGCTGCATGTTTCATGGATGTGTAATGGAGCAGTGGCTGCTTGCATTTGAAAGCGGAGTGAAGGGATTGAGGGAACAGATTGAATCCATCACAGAAAGAGTATGAAACTCCCATGCAAGTAAGCGCATAATGTTTAATGAATTGAATCTGGTGCTATAAACAGGCATCTGCCCTTGCGTGCAATACTTTCTTCATTGTTAATCCAGTACACAAAGTGTAACGCTTTTTGGCACATGCTTTAATAATTTATTTGAAATCTAAATTAGCTAAGCAGAATCTCCAGCCTTAAAGCCAGCGGAAACTGGTAGAGGCTGAAACAAAAAGGGAAACTGACCTATGTGCAGCAGTGACATTTTTATAACCTGAGGCTAAATCAGGTAAATGATGAATCCTATTAAAGCCGTTACACTTCCTTGTGTGTGAGTTTTAAAATTTCTTGTGTTTGTCCCTAGTTGGGTAGCTTAGAAAACCGGTAGATGGTGCACACTCCGAGGACTCAAGAGGTGTGAACTACATGCTGTTCTTTGCAAGATACTTTCTATACTACATTTTATCTTTTTGTCTAAAAATGGGGGTGCTAGCTGCCGTATTTGAAGATGGTAAAGATACTGGTGTTCTTGAGCAATCTTGGAATTGTGGCCATGTACTTTCTTTAGGTGGATGTCACCACTGTACGGGTAATAAAATTCTTTTTGCTGAAATATTTGCTGCTTGATGTGTTGGTGGTCATAAATGATAAAATTTCTAAAACCTGCTCTAAACCCTTAAAATCTATTCTATATCCTTTGAAACGACCCTGTGTTAAAACTTTTCTTTCTGAACAGGGCTTGGGAGCAATTTCACTGTCACTGTTGCTGCTTCAGTATTTCTCTTGTAAATCTAATGGCAGGCAGTGAATTCTGTAGATTAACATGTAGGAGTAGGGTTTAAATACTTGTTTCTGCATATGTGAAAAATTCAGGAAGTATAGGAAGAAGTGGGGTGCAAGTTTTGCATAGCACCGGCACAAGGACTTGGCTTATGTGTAGATTGGTCATATGCTTTTGCTTCAGGGCAAAGTGTATCTTACTTTTGTGTGCGTATGTCTGTCCTTTGTTGATAGAAACCTCTCTTTATGCATTTGAACTTCTGTGAATATCTGTCTGTGCAGAGATTTAGGAGTCTGTACTTTAAAGGTATAGATATATAGAAATTCAATCACATAGGCAGCTAAAATGCTTTTTGATAAAGCAGATGTGAAAACTTCTGTGTTTGACTTCACTGTGGGTGCAAATACGGGCATGTATGCATGTGGACAGGGGAAAAAAACTTCAAAAATGTAACCTTTCGCTAGGTAGCTCTCTGTGTCCCAAATGCCACTCAAACTTACTTTGTTACTGAGCAGATATTATGCAGGAAGTCTTTATTCATATGGCACACAGGTTGTCACACCAAAGTCGCATCAATTCCTGAATAAAATTACGTTCATTTGATGCCTTATGTGGTACTGAAAATTGGATATTAAGGAACGTGGAGGTGAAACTGAAATACAGTTGTTGTTCTGCTGTCTCACAGCAGATCAAACTGGAGTCAGCTGGAGGGAGAAGTAGATCTGAGGCTGCTTGTGGAAAGGTTCAGAACCAACTTTGTATTTATTTGCAGGTAAGGTGTTCCCTTGTATTTTTCTTTTTGTAGTTTTGGCAGTTTATTTGAACCAGTGTTGGTGGCCGGTTGAAGATGTATTAAAGACAGCTGATCCTTCTAGAGATGGGCTAATTTCGGTAAGGATGCTATTTTAAACAGTTACCTTTACCCTGGAACTTCCCAGCTAGAACAATCATATGTAATTGTCTCTGGTCTCCTATAGCTCATGCTTTATAACCTCTGTGGGATCTGGGCTATGTGACTCACCAAGTACTTCACATGTCTCCCATTGCACAGTGACATGCACATTAATCCTTTCTAAACAATTTTCTGCATGCAGTTTATGATTCATCTGTGGGATTTATTTTGTCTTGTTTTTAGTTTACCCTCACAGCCTACTAAAGGAGTAATCAGATAAACTGAATTACTACATTAGCAATAACTCTTCACATTAGTTTTGCTTGACTGACTGTCTGATGGGAGGTGTTACTACCTTTTGAAATAATGTCTTATCTAGCTAGTTACGACTTTATTTGCTTTGGATAATGTTTATATTGTGTTCATTGTATGAAATGGTTGTTATTGCATAGTTTCTATATCTGTAATTCTTTTTCCAAATAAATTACCTTAATAGGATACAACTACTTCTTCGTAATTTGAGAGACTTGAGTAGCCTGTAGTCTGTTTTCAACTAAGAAGTCAGATGCCTACTGCGTATGAGCTTTGTGTTGCCATGAGGATATTAAATCAGTTCTGTTTCCTATCCAACTCTCTGAGTCCAGCTTTGCTCCGTAATGATTCTGTTCCTTTATCATCTTTCCATAATATCTGCCATACACAGAGTTTAATTACTCACTGAATTAAGTAGGCTTTTTGTGAGTAACTGAACTGGAGGGATTTTGAGATACAAATCCTTGCAAGATGGAACTTGGAGTATGAACACAGGCTTTCAGGCTTTCAAGCATCTGTTGTATCAACAGAGAGTGAAAAAATTTCTGAAAATAGAAAATTTGCCCCTTCTAGCTCATTGGTAAGAGGTAAGTTGTCATTATTTGTGGAAACTCTCATTTTCTTTTTCAGCATGCATCTAAAGCTTTTTACCTTGATAACCAATATGATCTTGTTCTTTTATATTCCTCCATCTCCCTGTCCTGTTGGTTGTCTAGTAAGAAGCATGGCATAAAACCTGATTGTTCATGTTACACCTAGATTATAAGGTGTTTGGGACAGACTGTATTTATTCTCTGTTTTGTATAGTGTCTACCTCAGTAAGGTCCTTGTCCACTAAAGTTCTTTGATGCTGTGGCAAGACAGGTAATAGGGGAGAGGTGACCAGGATAACACAGTGAATCCTGTCTTTATTTGACTTTTGGGTCGGATTAGATTGCCTTGATCCTATTTCCAAACCTAAGGCTAGTTTGCTGTGACTACAATCAAGATACTTCTTTTCCTGCTGCTTTAGAATTCCTCTCTGTGACAACGGGAGACATGTCAAGCTTTATAAATTGTTACTAAATTATTCTATGCCCTTTGAATAGAGGCTGAAACACTGGGAAAAACTGGTTTGCCAGTCTGTCTGTACCAGTTAATGAGATATTTTCCCCAAATTAAGTGTACATGTTTCCTCACCTCCTCCTTCCCAGCCTTTTTGAATTTTGAAGCCTTTTATGAAAAGCAAAATACTAATCTCTGCTTCATTTTTCATTGATCTGTTTTTATTTGTTCTCTAAGGTCCAGACCTTTGGAGAAAGGATTGTCCTCTTTGTTCTGAACTACATTATTTTTGGAATGTTGGAAGGGAGTACAGCTAATGATGCATTCTTTCTACCTCACTCTGCCACCGAGTGTGCCAAGATACTCTGGAGAAATGGCGAGGCGGTTGCCTTTTACTCAGTCAAGATGAGAGGTAAGGTCACTTTAGAGATACATTTCCATTGATTCCTAATAGCTAGAAATGTAATCCTTTTGTTTATCTTTCAGTATAAATAATCCTGGCTCTCATTTACATTTTTATATCAAATCTCTCTCAGAATGAATCTGGGGAACAAACCTTCCCAGAATTTGGAAGCCATCCATATTACTTTCATTTAAACACGATGGTTCCAAACTCTATCCTCGGTTATACTGAGTGATCTGAGGTACTGGCTTATTCCAATAAAATATGCTTTAATGCAGCCAAGTAGAAGGCCATACATCTAGGAACAAAGAATGCAGGGCCTCCCCACAGAACGGAGGACTGCATCCTGGAAAGAATGATATCTGAAAAAAGGAGTACAGTTCATAGTGGAAAACCAGTTTATCAGGAGTGGCTGGTGGCGAGAAGTGGCAATATCCTTGGATGCGTCAGGAACAGTGGCTGGGTTGTGTAAAGGAAGGTGTATGCCCTCGATCAGTCCTGGAATTCTTTGTCCAGTTGTGGTACTCCCAGTTTAAAGAATGATGATTAACTGATTTCATCATTACTTGATTAACTAGCATAGAAAACAGACAAAATGTATTTGATACTTTAGGGATACCTGCACCAGTATAAGCTTTAGTAAAGGTCTTTTATTAGAGAGTTTGTATTAATGCAGGTCTAGAATGGAAAAGGCTTCATTAGAATAATCCAGGTATGCAGTTGAGTATGTACCCCCATGTACGAGCTGGTTACCGGTCTGCGCTTAAGATTCCTGGGTGTCATCTTGATACCAGTGGCTTAAACGAAGAGAAGTTGGTATCTTTGGAGGTAAATGTATTGTTCAAGTCAGCAATCAGTAGCCATCTGTCCAAAAGGGGAGAATAAGCAACAGCTTGAGAGCTGTACAGATATGGATTCCTTTGGATTCCAGAGGACAGTCTGAAGGTGCCTTCTCTGACAGAGTCTCAAAGGCCAGCAACAATAAGAGATGTTCTGCTCTTCTGCTCTGTTGGAATGTGCAAAATCCTTATTCACACTGACGTTTAGCTTGTGCACCACTGTGCTGGTACGGTGCTACTGCACTATCAACGATGAATCAAGTCTCAGCCTATGATAAAGGAATCTTGTATATATCTGTAGGTATGCTGATGAACTGGTTTGTAATTGGCAAACACTTCAATTACCATAGTACATTTTCCTTTAAGTCCGTAAATATTTCCAAGCTTTTGGAAAGAAACATTTGTATGGGCTGTAATGATTCATGCTTCAGTAAAATAAATTTGTACAGTAGTCTGTTATTAGGTGGAGTATTAGCCAAGTTGAAACTGTTTCTGAGTAAGCTGAGAGTCACAGTTTGGTTTTAAACCAGGTCCACATAAAATACAAATTCTTCAAGTCCAGCTTTGTCAGCATCTGTCTTTTGTTGCCAGTGTTTTTTTTTTTCTCTGGTCAACTAGATTTGTTAGTTTTTGGCCTGTGTCAAGAATTACTGCAGTCTTTTGCCAAAGACTTTTCGGGAAGCTTGAAACTGATTGGTTTTGCCCCTTTTTGCTATTTGCTGAATGCATTTAGAAAATAATTCTTCTTTCTGAAGTTCTGTGATTTCAATTTCATACCAGCCATGCTCTGGATCATCCTACTCTCTCTACTTTCTAGAAGAGCCATGGATTTATTAGGCCCAAAACAGGCTAAGATAAATATCTTCTCTTAGAAGTTGTATTTCACATGGTTGTTTTAGATTTTTTTTAACTTCTCTTTTTTTACCATAATGTAAGTTCTTTTTCCTTGTACTGTCCTGGTCAGAACATTTAGTAGGGGCAGCTTTAAGTACAGGACTTTATATTGTCCTGCACCTCTGTTACAGCTTCTGGTTTTAGGCAGAAGTTATCTTCCTCTATGCCCATCTAATTTTGCCCCATTAGAACCAAAAGGTTATAATGCCCTTTATTTCCATGCTCTGCAATTATCTGGCCATTCTTTATACTTTTATTTTCTTCAGTAGGTAATTGAGACTCTCATGCTGATGTTGTATTCAACTGTATTTCTAATATATGAATTTTCCATTATCTACAGTATGACAAAAAACATGCTTCAGTGGAACCAAATAAGCCAGAACAGATCTGTGGAGCATGGCTATTTCAAACATAAGTCATCTAGGTGAATCATAGAAATGGTGACCAAGGAGGAGAGAGTCTGTGCTACAGATTCAGTGTGCTGTTAGGCAAACTAAATTTTCAATGGACTTCAGTCGTTCCAATTGACTGTCTTGGCAATATTGTAAAGTAATTTCCTTTTCCCAGTTCCTAGGTGGCCTGTACAAAGTGAACTTGGTAATTTGGGTCCAGTTCCATGCATCCATGCATCTTATGAGCACCCTTAACGGTATCTCTTTTGATGGTCTAGCTAGAGAGGGACAGATGGTCTTGAGCACCCGCCTTGCTCAGACATGCAGTAACTGCAAGTCAAGGTTTTGAGACAATTTGGCAACTACTGACACAGGCCATCCTGCACCTGTTGTGTAGATAAACAGAGGACTAATTCTTCAAGGCTATCACTTTTCATCAGCATTAGACACCTTTATTAAAACAAAATTTATTCGTGACTACACAGATCATCAACCTAGCCTCTCTGGTATGTGCCTATTCCTGTCCAATGACAGGCATGCAGCATTTACCACTGGGTATACTAAAGATTGATGAGACGTACTAAGCCACTAATGAGGCTGATAAGACACTTTGTCACGTGCCAAGATAAATGTCTCCAATTTTATCTGTGTCAGCGGCTTCCATATTAGACAGCTGAGGAGTTAGACCTCACTGAATGCAGCTACTTAAAGGTACAACAGGAAATGACAGTTCCCTGTCCCTTTATTTCCAGACAGCAACCTGAAAATGAAATATTTAGCAGGAAGCCTTCATATAGATACTTTGGTTTTGAAATCTGTTTTATGTTCTTTTAAGTATTTCTTTCAGATTTTTTTTCTTGGCGTGCTCTAAATCTGTGTGAAAACTTCAAAAAGAATGTGCTATGTGTAGTGATGTAGGATTAATGACCATGGTTACTGATGCTATTTCTTGTGCAATAAAACCATGTAATTCCCTGAAAGTTTTTCTTTTTTATTTACTGAGGACTAGTAATTACTGAAAATTGACTTTTACCACCTTCACATAAATGTCAGGAGCATGTAGAAGATTCATAATGCAAATAAATCAGTAAGGAAGATGGAGGATGCTGTGAGCCAGGAGTGTCTTAGTCCCTTTAAGAATAAAACAGAACAACTCCCCTATTTTATATAGAGTTTTTTTCCTACTGTTATATATTACTGTTTCTATAACGCATAGGAGCTGCTCAGTTGCGGACCAAACTGTCTGTGGTACAAAAACCAAAGAAGTCAGATTGTCAAAGCTTGTCCCTTCCCAAGCTTGCTGTGTCGTTTTTGTCAAACCTTGGTAGTAAAAGTGTGGAGAAAGATGGTTTTCTCTGTGATGTGAGTCAAACCAGCCTTAACAAAATTGGGTCCTCTGAGAAGGCTGTAAAACATGCCGTTGAACCAGGAGTAAATGCATTGTTGGCTTCTCATTCGTTCTTTAGGGACGCTCCACAAATCACAGTTTGGGAACACCTGACTGCAAAAACTCTAACCTGATACAAAGTAGGCAGCAAAGCAACCCTGGCTCAGTCTCTGCTTTTTCCTACGCCAGAGCCTTAGAGATGGTCTTTGGAAGTGACTACCCAAGCTAAAATCCATTTCACACCTTTCTTCATACAAGCCTTTGCAAATTTTTTTTAATACTTTGGTAGCCCAGGTGGTATTCTGTAGAAATAGATCCCTACAAAGATAATAGGATTTTATTTTTCATTGATTACATACATTTCTTTTAGGGAAAAAAAAATTAAATCGGAATTGAAGTTAACCTGACAGACAGTTAGCTGGAATCTTGTTAAATAATTGCTTTTGTCTCCCTCTGTTTTCTAGCAATAATATTTTTAAAGTACATTTCTGAGGCAGACTGAAGTTTCTGGCTGTAATAAAAATTGAATGACTACATACCAGTCAAGACATGAATTCATTTAATTTTATTGAAGCCAGAACCTTTGTTCCCCTTCTCACATACAAACTCACACAATGGGTTGACCTTGGGTTCCATTCAGCAGAAATATTCCTCACCCTTTACACAAGCACTCAGCCTGCTGAAGGCCTGTCCAAACATGTGTGTGCCAAGCCAACTTGTTCAGCAGTGAAATAGTCAGTATGCACAACCTTGTTTTGTTTGGGTCTGTTGGATGTGGGGACTGGATTGTTTTTTTTTTTTCTGGTTTGTGGCTCTTTGGGAATGCTAATGGCTGTCTGCTTTCCTGCCCTTGTAATATCTGTTTACCATTCTGCTGGCTCATAAAAAGCATTCCTGACCTAACCAAACAGATCAAAGGCTTTCAAAGGGCAGACTGTATGAATACTTCCATCTCCATCGCCAATGCCCTTATTTTCCCTGCTCCTCCCTCACCTCAAAACTTAGTCTGCTTGTGTGTTTCAACAATGAAACAAACCTCTGAACCAAATGTGTGAGAGCCTAGTGGTCACCTCTGGGCCACCATTAGCTTACGGTAACCTCTTTGCTGTTGGATGGGAACTAGAGACAAAGTGGCCTTTGTTCCAAAGGTTGGTTTGTGTGTTTATTTCAAATGGCTGTGGGCTATGACTCTTCTAATATGTTTCCCAGGGATGAGGTGAAGAATGACTTCATGGTTTCTTTATTTACAGTGCCTTTAGACATTACAAGTTTTTGTTGTCTTCTCAACACAAAATTAGGACCACAGACATAAATCACTCAGCTCCTGGGATTGCTGCACGGCAGTCTCATCAAGATTTATAGGAGACAGACTATATGAGATAATAATAAACTTATAAGGACATTTCCACCATGCAGGAATTCTTAAAGCTATTGACTTCGTGTCCCTTTCTTAGAGTGTATGGTGCAACACTGCTGGAATCCAACATCTCTGTTGGGCTGACAACTAACAATGGGACTAGGAATATACTCAATTTTTGGCTCATGAAAAAAGAGTACCTACCCATCATGTGTTACAAATATTGAAAGGTTATAAACACCATCACAAACCATCCTTTTCCAACAATGTTCTTGACCATGTGTTTGAAGTTAAGCATGCACTTTGATTAAGCAGGGGTGAACCAAGCCTGCATGTGAATGGATTGGTTATATAGCTACATACTCTTGTTGTATGGCTGAGTATGTGTGATGTCGATTCTTGCTAAATGGAGAGCTACAGCCTTGACAAATCAGGGTCTAGAATTAAATATAGTCATGTATGCTTTGCTGAGTTGTGATCCTAGAAAAGAGAGTAGTCAAAGTCAGGCCTGGCGACTGTCAGCAAAAGGTACTAGGCTCCGACTCAAGGAGCAGAAGTAGACTTCAATTTAAGTTAACAATGGGGATGTGATAAAGAAAAAATGGATCTATTAAGTAAAAGTCTTCTATTGGAAATTAGGAACAACCATTCAATAGCAGATCTGTCAAACTGTGAAATAGGTCTTAGTGAAGTGATGAAAGTTTCATGTCTCAAGACACTGAAAACTAGACTGAGTGGTACACTAGCACGTGGTAAGAGAGAAAACTGAGGTCTTGATGAGATTAGAACAACAAATTAAGAAAAGGTAATCTTTTTCTGTTATAAAGGCCTGGATATCCATTTCTATTTAAGCTGCTATGTACCCAGATAGAAGCAGCATAAAATCTTTATAAATATTTTCCAACAATGAAAATAAATCAGTGAGATGTTTCTGTGGTGATCTTATCCTTTATGTAGGTAGCTGATGAACTGATGTTGGTCGTTCATTTCAGGGTTGAATGCTTATGCTGTCAAGTATAGTGAATTGCTAATGTACCTCCTGCAATAGGACCCTAAGTTGTTTAGCGTGAACATTAAAATTTTGGACCCTGAAGGTCTGTTCTTAATCAACTTTCTCTTGACTCCAGTTTGAGTTTACCATACATGATTGCAAAATAAATCCCTTGGTTCTAATTTTTTTTGACAGTTTTCACTGAGAACTGAGTTTTAATAGTTTGGAAGTTTGTACTTGAGTCTGTATTTTGTCCACAGGTAGAGCATTATGTCATGTCCCCATGAGTTCAAATGACTGACTTAATGTGTTTATTAGCAAGGAACATCCTTGAGTGAAAACCCTGGTTTAACACTGATAGTAGTAGTTCAAGTGGTGGACTAGAAGCATGTACATGTGTGATAGATTACCACTCAGTAGATATCAAGTGACATGCAAAGGAGCACTTACAGTACTTTCTTAAAATGCAGCACTCTGTTTATGGCTTTATATCAAAATGCCTTAATGTCTGTACTCATCTTCCTATAGCAGTGTAACTTTTGTGGGCTGCAGTATAAGATTGAACTTAAGCTGCTGCTGCAAGTTTAGCTGTCACTTGGATTCGACTCGGTGCTTTCTCAGACATGGTTCTGTCTCTTTGGGAAGTCACTTGCCTTCCTGTGACGTACTGGGTTGTTGGGGCTGCCTGGCTTCAGCTCTGTTTTCTGAAGGAGGAGAGTGATGGACTTCCCTTCCTCTGGCCCAGAGTCACTGCGAGCGTGCGCCGTTAGGGATCTGTTTCTAGTTTCAGATGGAGCAACCCCAACACTTCTTGTGTGGTTCTCTTACCAGCAAAGGTTTGAAGATGACTCCTGGGTATGTGTTGACGGCTAACTGAAAGAGAGCAATATTCTTTTGTACAATTGTCTACGGAATTTACTGAGCTAGGAGATCAAAGACTGAATATGCAGTAAAAAGGTTGTATAACTTTCTGGCCAGTAAAAGTCGGAAAGGAGGTCTAAATGTTGGGGCCAGTCAAGTTTCATACTTAAGAGAATTATCATACCATTTGGGCAGGCACAACAGCAATGTATGCAGAGGCCAAGAGAGTCTCTCTTCTCTTGTATGAAATTGTTCGCTTAAGCAGTATTGGGAGTTTTCTCTGGAAGCCTTCTCCACTGTCCGGTTGCATCAGGCAGTATGGACCTTCTGAGTGTTTAGATCATACTGCATTGTCTGGTTCAGTGTATTTCATAAGAAAAGTTTGTGGGGTGATTTACCAGAATAGCCAAAAGATAAAGGATTATACTGAGATTACATTCAGAATATTTAGCCTCTGGCTATAGGCCAGTTATATCTTTTCAGTGAACTTTCCTGTGTACTTTGCCTGTGTACCTGGATCATCCAATTATGGAGAATCGGAGTCTGGAAAATACTATGGTGAGACCTGTCAACCATATGTTAAGCAAGTCCTCTCAGTTTGATGGCACAAATCTTCCTCCTGGGGGTTTTACAGTCTATGCAAATTCACTTCAGTTGAGGTCATCCTCATAGCCTGTGGAAAGGTATCAGGGCAGTATTTGTGGCTAGAATCACACAGCAGTTAGTTAGTGCAGCAATATCGATTTTGTTTTCAAATTTATGTATTTTTTACTGTCTGCTTTCAGGGAGCCTATGTGATGGTACAACCAGTCAATGTTACTTGCTGCCAGTTTTGGATACTATATTTGTCCGGAGAAAGTACAGAAGAGGTGGCCTAGGGATGAAAATGCTGCATGATTTCTGTCAGTCTTTCATGGCTGAGGATGCCTTGGGGATCAGCTGCCCTATTTCTGCTGCCATGTATCAAGGTAAATCGTTTGATGTGGAAACGTTAGGTAAGGGTCATGTATAATGTATAAATTTCAATATGGTCTTGGTAGGATTTTCTTAACTGTAGAAGAGTTCAGTGCACTTGTCTGAACTGAACTGTTGTTAGTGTGCAACTGGTTACTTTTCTTGAGACATCTGGAATTTCCTGTAGAAAGGTAGGCCGATATTTATGTAAGACAATGAGAAGCAGAAAACTCATACTGCCTGTTTGGTATTTTGCATTCTCCTCTCACTCTCTCTTAGAAATAGAACTATGTCATTGCCCTAGACAGTGACTTACCCATTTTATTTGACACCAGAGGGAAAAGAATCATAAGATGTTGTCAAGCCTACACTCTGCACATAATACTCTTGTAGATACTACATTTGTAAGAAATTAGATTTAATAAGCCATATACCTAGGCTCTGCTCATTCATACAGTCACGTCAGTACTTGTTTTGTATTGACTGTCTTTGAACATTTGGCACTTTTAAAAGATCACTAAGTATTTATGTATCATCTCTGTGTTCAGGTTGAAGTTCTGGTTTTGCTAGTAAAATTTACAGAAAATACCTGTGCTTACATTTTTTATATAACTGTTTTCTTTAGAAAAGCATTTTTTCCTGAAGTTGCTCTCCATATGGTATACAGTCTTTACTGTCATTTTGGGGGAGATGTTTCTATTGACTTCTGTCTTTACAGCCATTTCCTAATAAGTGTCAACAAAATTTTGACTGTATCTGTTGTTTCTCCTCGTCAGTATATGCCATTGGATGTATACAAATGTACCCCAATATATAGAAATGTACCCCAGGAGTTTCTAAGGTACTACTACTTCTAAATTCAGGAAGGAATAGTATTGACAACATTCTTTCTGTTCTCCCAATAATATCCATTTTTCTTATGGCAGGCATCAATGGTTTAGGTGCTATGGATCAGAAAGCTGCACTGATTATGCGTTAACACTAGTGATACATTGCAAGACTGTGCTTTTATCTCAATTAAGTTTAGAGATAATAGTGAATAAATTTGACTTGTATCATGTTCTAATTAGGTTTTCTGGGTCCTACTTTTATAAAAATACTAATACTGTAAGTTAAATTTTGAGTATATTGAAATCCCCGCTTGTTTTTAATTTCATTGGAACCACAATGCAACCTTTAAATCTCTGTACTAAACGTTTACAGTTTGCACTAGCATGTTATTTAATGTGCTAAAAAGGCCTAAAAGCAAGTAAAAAGCCATTTAGCAAATACCTCTATTTTGGTATATATGTTACTTTCAATAGCTTTTATTGAAATGATTAATTTAGTTTGGATATCCTTGGATAAAATTAATGACAGCGATATGCTCATTACTGTAAGGCAAATGTTTACATACTAGAATTGTTTTTTTTGTTTCAACATCCCATTATTGTTAAACTCAACTGAATGCTGAAGATAAATTACCCATTCTGTAGTATGAAGAACTACAATGGACAGAGGAGAGCATCAAAATAATTTTGTTGTTTACAGACTGCTGTCTTAGTACAGTTGATGGAGCTGATGGAATGGTGGTTAAGGAAAGTTTAAAAATCCCCTTTAGTTTTTTTGAACTGTTTGTCCTACAACATATGCCTCCTCTTGGCTCTGCAGATGTCCTAAGGAAACCTCTAAATAGAACGGATTTCAGTTTGATAACATAAGCAAACCTAAATGTGATTGTTTATCCAAATTATATTCATGTTCAGTGTGTACTGACAGTGATAGAAATCTGTGGGAATATGGCTTCTAAAAGTGATTGTATATCTGACACAGGTACCCTTGTGATTCCTTTGTTGGTTCTTCCTATTTCTTGTTTTCCACATCCAAAGAAGTAAATGAACCCCAGCAACAGAGTGTAGGGTAGCAGTAGTGAAATGGAGGGTGGTATTGGCCCAAGAACAAACTGATAACAAAGATTTTGTTTATAAATAGAAATTAGAGTAACATTCTTAATGGTTAAAGCTGGAAGATACTGAAACACCTTTTATTTCAGAGTAGTGAGGGTGAAAAAACCCACAGTGGTGTTAGTCTAAAACCTGCTAAGTGTCTGGAGATAGTTCTGTGATGCTGTGCCAGAAGAAGGTGGCTCAGTAAGTCATTTCAAGTCCTGTATTTCTGCACTCACAAGGAAGTAATTAGACTGAAGCACATGGACAGGATTCACTCGTGCCTGTTTAGGTCATTCCACATAGACTTTTTCTAAAAGCCCCAGCTAAAAGAAAAAAAAGTAAGATGAGAAGACAGAAGAAAACATTTCCAAAGGAACTAATGAAAGTAGGTCTGAGAGAATTTCTGGGATAGAATACAGTCCCTCTTCCACTATACTTTTCACTCATTCATGCTTTTCCCTATTGGTTTCTCCTATTCAGTTTGCCAGAAATTCTTACAGACTTATCCCGAGGAGCAGAAGCGACTGTGGGAGGTGGAAGCACCAGGAGATTGGAGCCAGCGAGTGAATATCTGGTTAAAAATTCAGATGGAGTCATCCGCTTCAGGAAGTGAGTTAAAATAAACAGTGTGAACTTGGCCATGTTAGTTATATAAAGATAAGAAATAAAATCAAAGGTTAGGTTGTGATAACAGGTAGGTGGTTTCTCTGTTGTTTGCGCATGGAGAAACTACTAGATGTACAGTCCAGTTCACTGGTCTTTCCCAGTAAACAGGACAATTCTTAGAAACTATGAGGTAATGAAGTGGAACTACAGAGCATCTGAGAGATACTGAACAAAGCACAGTCTTGGCATAAAGTGGCTGTAACTCCCATTGCAGTGCACTTACAGCAGGGTAGAAGTTAGCCCAAAAAATTCCTGTTGCACAACACAATGTCTGGGTTATAGCAAGGGGTTTGTTTCTCTGAAATTATTACAAAGAAGAAATTTGTATGGCCAATGGGCAATGTGTTTAATTACCTTCAGTTTGCTGCCAATACCATTCTTGGATGGAAACACAAACATTTTCATTATGGCTTTTGGAAGACTGAGTACACTCCTACAGGGTAGGTCCTTGCTGGGAGCATTTTCTGCTTACTTCACAAGAGATAGAGACAGAGTAGGAAAACCTTTTGACAATTCATGTGGTGATCTTGTTGATGTAATCTGTTCACCCGGCCTGGGGATCCAGACAGGCCCCTCTGCTGCATGCACGTAAGCTGTGATAAGCATGAGGTTCCAAAAGAAGGGCACACATTGTCTCTTTCTGGAAGTGCAGCAAGGAGCGCTGCAGAGCAAATTGCTGCCATGCCTTCCCACATCTATCCTGCTTTGTATTGGCTTGGGGATCTTCAATTGAGACATTGCATTTCATCTTGTCTGCAGCACCTCACAGGAGAGTTAAGGCAGAATTTAGCCCTAGGCTGTGTTCCCCTAAAGCCATTATATTTACGTTCCTCATGATTTAAACCAACAAAAACTGGTGTTGCTCTTTCCTTTAATCCATCCTGCTAAGTTCAGTTTATTAATGGCAATTGAAGAGAATTATGATCAGATCAGTGGGTCCTGGAGGAGAGTATACTTTTTTTTTTTTTCTTCTTTTTACCATCTTCTACAAAAACAAACAAACAAAGAGAAATGACTCAAAACATAAGTAAATACAATTCCACCAGAGTGGAATTGTAAAAAACACACATGAGGCTTGGTAGCTGCCTTGGCCAGTTCTGCACGTAAATGAGATATCTCATATCTACAAAATGAGGAAGGAGGGAAAGTATAAACCAGAAATTGGAGGGATGTTATGTATATTAATATGGATTGTGAATTGTCATGTGATCTTTATAGTGGAAGGGAGCAGAAACAAGTGAATTTGGCACTAAAATGCATAATAAAAATCTGCTTTTTAAATTATATTCTCCACTCTGATGCACAGCTCACTGGGCATCGCTTTACTTTACACTGAATGTGCTGAACAGGCTTTATTTCATCCATCTTCAGTGGAAAATCAACCCACTATAAAAACAGTGTTTAAAACAGTGTGTAATACATTTATTATATCTGTTTTACATATGGAATCTACTTGTGTGCTTCTTGTGCTTATATTATCCCAGTACTGTGCATATTAGGCACCCAGGGAAATACCAAAGGAGACTACAGGACCGATAATGCCTGCTAAAACTGGGGGAGTGTTTCCCTGCTTTTGCTTTGTCCTAAAGGCAGCATGACTCCTGCATAGCTCTATCTGATAGCTGGTGAGGAAATAACAAGAGAATTTTCCAGGGCTTTACACTATCTGTTAATAGTAGATAAAGCAGAAACATTTTCTGAATGCAGGAATCCTGTATCATCTGACCTAGCATGCTGCTTACCATACACATAAAGGGAAGCTTATGTTTCCAGAGTTGTGGTATAGGGACAGAGAGAGGAAAATGATGTGGCATAGAATGGAAACCACTGGAGTTGTACACTTACGTGTTCCATGTGTGCACAGTCATATAGATCTTCTGCAAGTTTGCAGACAACACCAAGCTGAGTGGTACAGTTGCTAGACCTGAGGGAAGGGATGCCATCCACAGGGATCTGGACAAGCTCGAGAAGTGGGCCTGTGTGAACCTCATGAGGTTCAACAAGGCCACATGCAGGGCCCTGCACCTGTGTTGGGGCAACCCCCGGTATCAATACAGGCTGGAGGATGAAGTGATTGAGAGGAGCCCTGCTAAGAAGGACTTCGGGGTGCTGGTTGATGAGAAGCTCAACACGAGCCAGCAATGTGCGCTTGCAGCCCAGAAAGCCAGCCATATCCTGGGCTGCATTCAAAACAGCGTGGCCAGCAGGTCAAGGGAGGGGATTCTGCCCCTCTGCTCCGCTCTGCTGAGACCCCCCCCCCGCAGTACTGCCTTCAGCTCTGGGGTCCTCAGCACAAGAAGGACATGGACCTTTTGAAGTGAGTCCATGAAGGCCATGAAGATGACCAGAGGGCTGGAGCACCTCTCCTATGAGGACAGGCTGAGAGAGTTTGGGTTGTTCAGCCTGGAGAAGAGAAGGCTCCGGGGACACCTTATGACAGCCTTCCAGTGCTTGAAGGGGGCTTATAAGAAAGACGGGATCAGGCTTTTTAGCAGGGCCTGTTGCGATAGGACAAGGGGTAATGGTTTTAAACTAAAAGAGGGTAGATTCAGACTAGATAAAAGGAAGAAATTTTTTACAATGAGGGTGGGGAAACACTGGAACAGGTTGCCCAGAGAGCTGGTAGATGCCCCATCCCTGGAAACATTCAAGGTCAGACTGGATGGGGCTCTGAGCAACCTGATCTAGTTGAAGATGTCCCTCCTCATTGCAGGGGGGTTGGACTAGATGACCTTTAAAGGTCCCTTCCAATCAAACTATTCTATGATTCTATGTATCTATCTTTAGGGGGTCACTTGGGAACATAGTGCTTCATTCCTACTTGCTCTGTTATGTAGAAAGCAAAACACAATGTAATTTGATATTGTCAGTGCCAATCTGGATCTATGGCAACAACCATGAAAACAGACAAGTCTTATTCTGCTCTGATTTCTTAGATCCCTGTCAATGTTTGCAATGCTATGTTTTGGAGCAAAATTATTGAGAAGAAAAATTGAAAATTCTGCTCATATTACACTTTTTTCCCCAGTACTCAGGATTGAATACTATTAATGCTGTTGTAAGAATTCTGGAATCATAGATATTCCAAAAAAGGTTTCTGTAACCCTGAGGTCAGAATTTTAAATTTTGCAAGGTTATGTGGCTGCATCTAGTGGCAGTAGAGATAAACTGCAGCACTCTGTTTACTGCAACTGGTACTTCAATTTGGATGTGCACAGGTAGACATATATATACACACATATTTCTGTCTGCATGTATACATATATCTATAAAAATAAAGCTTTTTAGCATATCACACATAGCTGTAATTGTTCATTCTAAATTAATTCTGATTGTTTGAAAAATGGAGAGATTTATTTACAGCAAATAGTCTCGGTAACAGGAACACAGTGACATTTCTCTTCTGGGGCTGATTGGAGGAACAGAAGTCATTTAACATGGTTTGGTCCTAGTTGCTAAATCTACCAGGCAGTGAACTGGGCTGTTTTGAAGTAGCTTAGTAATATACATAAAGCATGTAAATGTGAAGGTAATGCAAAAAATTAGCAGACTGAGCAAGAATTAAAATAAATTTCAAATGATTGCTTATAATCCTTTATCTGAATTACTCAGAGTATCTGCATTTTCTGAAAGGGAGGAAGGGATATGGGTTTTCTGGGTGTAAGAGATGAATGGATTATCTATTTAGCAGAACTTTCTAAGCTAAGAAAGACTCAGAAACATTTTTTTTTCTAGTATAGTTGTTCACTTTAGTCTTTTGTGGTAGTGTCGTCAGGCACCTGGTTTGGTTAATGAACCAAAGCAAGGCAAGAGGAGTTGAAGGCAGCATTCAGGTGGCTTTTTCTGATGTGTTTTTTAAAATGGCCACGGAAGTCTGCTAATGTTTTTTTTCCTTTTTAATCTCTTTCTGGGGCAAAACTGTTCACCCCGTTTCTCCAGAGGCTGAAGTGGGCTCTGGTATGGAAAGTGCTCAAACCAGTAAACCCAGACAATCAGATGTGGACCAGATGAATAAGGTACAGTGACTAATTTGCTATTTTATGACTTTCTTTTTCGTTGGTGGCCTTTTCTCTATTTAGTGAAGTAGTGAGGTTTAAATGTGAGAGACCTTCACAGACAACTATAGGTGTGTTTTTACTACTGACCCATAGGTTTATGTAGGTAATCATAGCTATATAATGTATATACATACACATATAATTGATTCATATAGCTAATTTATATAGCTATAGTAGTTTGAGAGGCTACAGACTACAGGATAGTTTCCGCTAAAAGTTTTAGTTTGATCCTTACTGACATAACCAAGCTGGCATACAGCAAATTCCAAGGTTTGTGTATGCAATGGCTTTCTGAACTGAACTGTGATTTTTCTTGTGCCTATACAGGGTCTTGGGTCTGAGACCTTTAGAATGAGTAAGCCAAGCTCTTTATGATACTCATTATTTTGTGCCACTACTGAGGTGCACATCTGACTGGAGATCTGACTGGAGGCCTAAAACAGACTGAGAGATTTGAATGAAGCCTAAACCTATTTAAGAGTACATGTGTCACAGTAATGAAGCTTTTTCAAGTAATAAAGAAAAAGGAGAGATGAGTGGAAGCAAAACAAAGAGCTGTAGGGGTTGTTTCCCCAGCACATTTTGGCTGCCACACAATTAAATCATTTTTTTTTTCTTCAGACATGGATCTCCTGGGGGAGCTATGACAGCACTGGCCCCTGTGGTACACGCTCTTGCGTTATGTGCTGTGGTCACGGCTTCAGAGCCCACCCAGCCAGATCAAGGCTCCCTGTACTCCCAGTTTTCTTTATGCTGACACTTCTGGGAACTAAGGCAGAGCAGCAGGAATGAAGCTGTTCTTTACAAACAATGCAGCTAAGTTTCCTGACTTCCACGTTTATGGTGGCGTCGGTTGGCAGAGGCATTTTATATTAGCATCAAGTCACTGTTTATGTTGTTTGTCTATAATTTGGTGTTCCCTCTGTCTTGGTTCTAATTTCAGGGTGTTGAATACATTCCTGGTGTTGGGAAAGTGGCAGGAGATGCCACAGGAAAAAAAAGATGACACACCAGGAGCAGGAACTCTAAACTCACAGGATCCTGAACAAGAGGACTTAGAACCAGGTGCAGGCAATACTCAGCAATGAAAAGCATTCAGAAAAAGAGCAGACCCTGGGGGCTTAGTTGGAGACAAGGCCACCAAAAGTTTAGAATTATACCATAAATGCACTTTCAAAAATCAGCAAAATCAGTATGGTCTAAAAATTGTAGTTGACTGTTCATAATTTGTAACGCTGGAGAGATTTCTTCAGGTAAGATAAAATTTTTTTTGCAAGACGCATGTTCTTCATCTTGTGTTTTTTTTTTAAATAAAGCTTTTGTTTGCTACTTGTCCTTTTCTTTTTCTTCTCACCAGGTAATTAAGTAGTAGTTGAGCCTAGTTATTTCCCTGCTCTGAAAAGATTTTACTGGATTGCATGAGATGTCCACAAGGGAGTAATTGGAGGGCTTGTAGATGCTGATGTAAGAAGATATTTCTATGGAAACCACATCCTGCATTATGGAATAGAGATACCACAGCACACATTGGTATCAGAATGACAGCTGTAACCTTCCTTTCAAAGCTAACAGTTGATCTTGAATGGCTTTCATTTGAGCTTTTCTAGGAGAAAAATCTTCCTTAAACCCTGTGGTGGACAGGATGGCATATGAACTCCATTAATGCAGAAAAAGTTTGTTACAGAGAAGAGTGAGCAAGCTACAGGCCTTAAACTGCCTTTAAATTCAGGCACTGTGATCTTGCTATGTGTAAGTTCAATGTAGAACTTTGTGTAGATTACATATTGCGTGTTTTATTTCCTGTAGGCTCTTTCCTAATGTTTTGTACTTAATTAACTTGGAAGTATAACATATTTCACTAGATTACTCATGTAAGCTTGGTGAAGAAATTTTGTCCTTTTACCACAAGCTTGTTCTCTATTAGAATTTATTTTTAGTGTGGAATTTCTAAAGCTTGAATGTTGTATTAATGATTACAGGTGAAACTCTTAAGGATCAGATCTTTAGTCCAGTAGCAGAGAGGGCTTTGCAGAGGGGTAGGCTCAGTGGCGAACAGCAGTAGAGTCTTGATGAACCTGAATAGATCCAGCAGCCTGTAATTCTTAAGTGGGTGCCTTGGAACAAGGAGAGGTAGCTATTTCTTTCCAGAAACTATTCCAGCATTTCCAGGGAGACAGTTTTGTAGGCAGGCATTATAGGTGCACTGTAGGGATGAGTATTTTTCTCCCTGTACAGTATAATTGCTCACACATAGCCTTGTCACCCTCTTTTTGTTTCAGGTCGTGATTTAACATAGCGTTTATTCATGTATCCAAGTAACTCCTCCCCTGTCAAGCTGCTCAGTAAACCATATGCCTGAGACACATCGAAATCAGACCTTTCTAGGCATCTCTTTAAAAAAAAAAAAGAAAAATTAAAAAATGCTATAATTGGAACTTAGAAGTTTTTGCCAAGAGAATTAAAACACTGAATTGTATGCCAGCCTTAATCATGTTGCTATGGTTCTCTTGTCTCAAAGAGAATGCATTTAGGACTAACTTTATAATCAGTTGATCTTCGGGTTGTTGATTTGTCAAGTCGCGAAGGGCGTGCTATAAAGACTGCTAGAAACCCTGTGTCCTCCTGTGCAGCAGCCTGTATTCTTACTTAATGTATGGTTAAATACATACCTCTTTTTTTTTTTTTTTTAAAAAAAAATACAATATTTGTGAAGAGTTGCAATACTAGTTGCTCCTAAGTATGATAGAAAATTATTATATCTCTCCTTATGAGAACTGATTCTGGAGTTGCAGTAGCCTAGCAAACTAGCCTCATGTCTAGTTTGCACATAATAGCCTATATTATAATTGTCAGGGTAAGGTAAACTGGAGTTGGTCCAGCAAGTGAGGACTATTAAGAAGTTTAATCTGATTTAAGTCTTTCAACAAATTTTGTCTAAGAAGGCCCCAGGAAACTCTCTGAATTTGTATTAGAATAAAGAAGATGGATAAGGTACTGTGTGTGGAATGGACAGACACATAATTCGATTAAATTCATTCTGTATCTGGGGACACTTCGTGTCAGAGGAAAAAACAGCAATTATTCAATATCCCCAAACTGAATTTCTGTTTCACCACTCTTATCCAGTGATCCACTGACTGCATTAACAGCCCCTTTACTGGTGTTGTCACAGAAAAGTTGCTTCTTTCCTCTGTGTAAGAATTATCTTCCTTGATTATGTTTAGCTTTTTGTTTTCTAAGAAGTAATGCTTTTTCATCAGAAATGCTCCTGATGGCAACTGGGCATATTATAGAAGTAAGCAAAGGTACATTTGATGAGGTGGTGTTGGCAGATGGCTTGGTACTTTCTAATCAAAGAAAGTGATCACGTCATCCTTCTAATCAAAACTTGTGACAATCAGGGATGTTCTACATTCAGTTTATCTATCTGCCCTGCCTGGCAAATGAAACACACAGAGCAGACACAGTAGAATAAGAGGATACAGACATTTGCCCATTATCTATATCCAGTAAAGAACCAGAGCCAGTTCTGAGGTTCTACTGAACGATACTAAACTGCTGGGCTACAGGTTGCAGGAGGACACAGACTTGTTCCATATTATTTCAGAAATGCTGACTTGCAGAACCATTAGTCTAAATATTGATTTTGGGGTGTGTGTGTGTGTGTGTGTGTTTTTGTTATATTAGTGCTTTAAGGTATCTGATTAATGTAGAAGCTTGGACCTGCAACTCGTTCTTGGCAGTCTGAAGCGCTGCTTAGTGAGATCACAAGAATCCTAAGAGAGTCTGAAGCAGAAACATACCCAATATCTTCACTGTCTTAATAGAACATAATAAAAAAGAAAACAACAGCACAAACATTTTTTTCTCACAGTGGAAGTTCTTTTATTTAAAAGAAATCTGTATTTACTGAAGGGTAGGATGGTTTCAGAGTGCTGGAAAAGCTGGCAAAGGCTTGAAAGCATTCCAATTTTTGGAGTTTTTTTCAAAACCTTGGATTTAATCTCTTTCTGAATCTACACTCTGGTGGTTATGTCTTGACACGATGATATTTCTGCTTAGGGGACAAGGAGGTAAGTGTGTGCATGACAGAGATGGCAGACCTGCTGAAGTGAAATTAGTATCTGTCCTTATAGAAGCCTACAAGTAAGATGTTAGACATCAGCAGTAGTGTTAGCAGTGATCTGGGTGGGTGTGTGCCAACTAAATAAATATTTGAATCACTCTCAGGACAAGTAAACATGCATTTTAAGGCTAGAAATTTCATAACATTGATCTGTCATGGTGTTTCACATAATGTAAGCCACACAATTTCATGCATGGTTGCTGTATCAAAAATCATTGGTTTTGGTGGAAACAATCCATTTTTTAGAAAGATTGTTTTGATTTGACAGTTTTGATTTTCAGATGTTGGGCAGTGGGAAATCTGTCACATTTGTTGGCAAGTTGTACTAAAGTTTTGAGTTTACAAGTGCACCTGATTTTTTTAGTCTGAATTAATTTTGGTTTAGTCTCCTATGATGGATTTTGCTTTTCTGTTTAACGCTGAGCTATGGCTCTGGTACTATCAAGATTCTTTCAGTGTGCGGATAGGTACTTTGTGGTCTATCATGACATCAGTGAACAGCACTGTTTTTTGGATCTGTCTCTGTGAGGCAGATTTTCCTGACCTTGATTCATTCTTCTTGTCCTTTCAGAGAGATTTTAAATTTTTTGAATTCCTCTTGGAAACCTGAACATCGTCAGAGGCCCAGTTCCAGTTACAATCACGCTGACTGTTACGGATTAGCACTTCCCGGCTGCTGTGACCTGTGGTTGTAAATTATCACGGGATTCTTTTGTGCTTGTGGGTGTCTTAATGGTGAACATGCACCGTAAAACTTAAGCGACAAGGAGGAATTAAGAGGTATCTCTTTTTAATGTTTTTGTCTTTAATGGCCACAATGGTTACAGCATACTACGGAAAAAGTAGTCAATCCAGCGTCATCTTTATTATTACCACGAGATGGCACCATTACATAGCTTAACAGTGGCGTCATCTCTTGGGATACTTAAGACGGTGCCCACGATTTAAATACAGCACTGGTTGGCTTGACTTCTTCAGAGAAAGATTACCGGTTCAGAGGAAGGAGGATGAGGGTGTGGTAAAGCTTGTCTTTTGTTTACTATTCAGTCTTTTTGTATCTGTGGAGTTTGTCTGAAGTGGGCCCTGGGTTAATTTTTTTCGAGTATCTGTGAAGCCAAGATGAAGTCATAGAGTAGGACAAAACGCAAACTGCACCCAGGTTGTGCCTCTTCGTACTCTTGTATCATCAGGAAGCCCGCAGCACCACAGTGAGACTTTTCCATGTTGTATTTCATGGTTTCCCAGTGCAAGGTGATTCTGTCTCAGTTGTTCGACAGATAACTTCAGCATCCAATTTTCCATTTCTGTCCCTTCCCTATCTACTACTTGCTTTGCATCAGATTGCTACCGAGCACTTTTTTACTTTTCTTTTGGTGAAATAACAGCTACCATGTAATATGCTGTTAATATTCTCAGCATTAGAAAGGCAAGGATGGTCTATATTTGCCCTAAAGGCTAAGTTTCCTCCTTTGCGACTATGTTTTGTATGTGACCATTCCGAAGGAGAGAAGAGCAGATTAAGTAAGCGGATGATTTAATCTAATTTTTATTTTTAAATTTTTAAAAATGTTTAATGTTTAGTTTAATTGATAAAATAAAACTTTAGTGCAAAGATAAAGTTTTACATTAAAGGCAACTCTCCATCCTAATCAAAGATTGTAATGCAAACTTTCCAAAGCAAGTCATTCTCTGTTCTTTCACTTGCTCTTTGAAAGCCCAATGCTGACTCTGGTTCTGGGGTGTTTTCCCAGTCCTCCAGGCCTGCAATATCACACTCCATGACTAGGGTGGCACGATACATCTGTCTGCTAAATGGCAGAAGCTCTGTGCAACTCTGAAGAGTTTATCACATCAGTAACTTGGGCCAATATCCTTCCCTCTCATCTCTGTGATGACATTAATGTATTATGGGTTTGAACACTCACGGACTGCTCTTGAAGGATCTACTAGAAGTCACCTTATAGAAACTTCTGACCACCTTTCTGCTATGTTTTTTGTGGAAAATTTTGAGAGGTTCAGAAATACAAATTAAACATTCTTAGATAATCACTTTTCACTTGTATAACTTGATTATGAGAAGTGAGCAATCCAAAAGACTGC